CTTATCTCTAAGTTGATCAAATAAAAGGAGAACCCCTGGAAATATTGTTTCTGTGAAGTTTGTTTCAAAGATGTCTTTTCCAGGTGAAGCTATGTGATTCTCAGTTGGTCCTGAAAACTAGGACAACTGCTCCTGAAAAAGAGTGAAAGATTTGGTTGATGAGTTTATTAATGCATTCAAGCCATCAGTTACTGGAGGAAGGGTGTTTAAAGAGGCAGCATTAATACAGATATTTAAAGATGCAACCAGACAACCTAGCTTTAGATCCTGGCTGACACGTAATTATGGTATAATTCTGGGCAAATTGCTCAAGTGTTCTGTGCTCAGCTTACCTGTCTATAAAACAGGATTAATAATCATGCCTACCCTAAAAGTTGTTGTGATGAATAAGTGAATTAATATATTGTGGCAGAAAATAATGAATACATTATGTGCTCACCAGAATGGATTTGCTCCTTTTGCTGGGAACCAAAGCTAGACTACATTTCCCAGTATCCTTTGCAGCATTTTAAGACTATGTTAATAGGTGTTCTGGTCCATAGTGTACAGAGAAAAAGGAATGTGTGCTGACCCTGGTTCATAAAGACCTCCCATATGATTCTCAAAAGAACTGGGAGTTGATGGGCCCACAAGATATTAACAGAAGAAACCTTTTCAAACATTCATCAAACTTCTTAGGAGAAATAAACTTCTATTGTGGTAAGCCACTGAGACTTAGGGTTTCCCGGTTACAGCAGCTAGTGAGTATAACTCACTAATAAAACGTGTCAGACAGTTAGCAGCTTCTCAGAGTAGAGGCATGAATGTCCAGCAGTATTTAGATCTCCAGAGAAGGGAACTGCTGGGGGATAGAGCCAAACTTGGGGCCGCTCACTCGTGCACAGAAAAGCCAATCTACCGCTACCAGGTTGTGGTGAAGGAAAGTGCAATGTTGATCACAGGGCACCAAGCAAGGAGTCTAAGCAGTTAGTGTTTAGAAGACCCAAACTCGCTGCAAGCTTTCAGGGAAAGGTTTTTAAAGACAGGGCGAGGGAGAGGGACTTGTGGGATGTGTGGTCAGCCTTTGGACATTCTTCTGATTGGTTGGGGGTGAGGTAATGATGAGTCAGCATCATCAACCTTCTGGTTCCGACCACTCTGAGGTCTACGTGCTTGTGGGCACATGTAGTTAACTTCTTCCATCTGGTAGGGATTTCAGTATCATTATACTGGAGTGGTTAGCCTTTCCCTTCTCCAGAGGATCTTCCCAACCCAGGGATCGAACCCAGGCCTCCCACATTGCACGCAGATTCTTTACCGACTGAGCCACAAGGAAAGCCCAAGAATACTGGAGTGGGCAGCCTGTCCCTTCTCCAGCGGATCTTCCTGACCCAGGAATCTAACCAGAGTCTCCTGCATTGAAGGCGGATTCTTTACCAACTGAGCTATCAGGGAAGCCACTTCAGTATCTGCAAAACAGCTCAAAGGGTATGGCTCAGAATACTGTAGCCGCTGAGGAGGAACTAAAGGTCCTTGATTTTGTTTAATGGCTAAACTGTTGTTATTTTGTTTTTCTTGAATGGTTCTTTTTCTTTCTGCATTCATCTGATTAAATGTATTCTTTGGCACCCAGGGAAGGCCTAGGAGGCTAAAGTTTTTCTCCAGTGAGAGGCAGGCAGAGGACATGGCTTGGGCTGGAGGCATGTCTGTTCTAGAAAGGCCCCACTGGGTCCTACTTGGTGGTGGTAGCCGCTTCAGTCGTATCTGCCTCTGACCCATGGACTGTAGCCCACCAGGCCCCTGTGTCCATGGAACTCTCCAAGTACGAATACTGGAGTGGGCTGTTGTTTCCTCCTCTAAGGGATCTTACCGACCCAGGGATTGAACCCGGGTCTTCTGCATGGCAGGCAGGTGATTTACCACTGAGCCACCTGGGAAGCTCCCTACTTGGTTACGGAGCCACGTGAGCAAATGAATGGCCATGTTATGTTTGAAAATAGAGTAACCTGCCGTAGCCGGAGGGCAGGTTCCCTGGAGGATTCTGGACTGAAGTGTGGCGAGAAGAGGGGTTGTGGTTACATTAGCCCGAGTATCAGGCAAAGTAACCTGGAGGGTACCCAGTAAGCCGGGGTGAGCCACCAAAGAATGGGCGCTGTGCTAATGTTGCCACAAAAAAGACACTCAGAGCTGTAATCTGGATTGTTTTTGTTTGGATTCCCTTCCAGGTAGGCTCTGAGGGAGGACTTAAATGCAACTGCTTTATTTGGGAGGTGGTCCCAGGAAGCACTGAGGAAGTGGGAAGTGATAGCAGAAGGGAGGAAGGCCACTGAAGGATGTGCAGTGAGTGGGTTACTGCTGTGGGTACCTGGGACTCAGTCCTCTGGGCACTTGGGAGATCCACGTGGACCATGACTCAAGATTGTCCAGCTTGAAGAGACAGGGAGGGAGGTGTGTATTTAGCAAAAAAAAAAAAAAAAAGAAAGCTGTTCCCAGGATCTGAACTGCCCAGCAGTTCAGCCCTCCCGCATGTTAGCCAAGCTGTCTCCCAGAGCCTGAGCATGCCCCTGGCTGAGAGAGACAAGATGCTGCTGGCTCACAGGGAAACTCTGCTAATGAGCTTGGGGTGGAACAGAAAGGATCCCAGGTGAGCACTGACATCTGACATAGCTCTCCACACCCTCTTCTTCACCCCTCTATTTCTAGGTACCTCTTTCCCATCATCTGTCAAATTTGATGCTGAAAGGAATGTGGTGATAGAGTGCAAAGAATAAAGGCTTTGAGATGCAGTAAACCTGGGTTCTAATCATGCCCCTACCTCTTATTAGTTGTGTGATCTTGGGCAAGTTGCTTCCCTTTCTAAACCCCCATTTCCTCTTCTGTTAAATGGAGTTTAAAGTATCTAATAATCAAAACTCGCTAGTGTATAAATGAGGCATCTAGCAATACTAGCGGAGAAGGCAATGGCACCCCACTCCAGTACTCTTGCCTGGAGAATCCCAGGGACGGAGGAGCCTGGTAGGCTGCAGTCCATGGGGTTGCTGAGAGTCAGACAGGACTGAGCGACTTCACTTTCACTTTTCCTTTCATGCACTGGAGAAGGCAATGGCAACCCACTCCAGTGTTCTTGCCTGGAGAGTCCCAGGGACGGGGGAGCCTGGTGGGCTGCCGTCTATGGGGTCGCACAGAGTTGGACACGACTGAAGTGACTTAGCTGCAGCAGCTGCAGCAATACTAGCTCACTTCTTCTCTGAGTTTTGACAGATACCATCAGTGACATGATGCCTCGATGTAGAGGAGATGGGATGGAGAGGTGGGGGACTGACGGAGTTGCGTGTTGCCATGGTAACCAGGCATCCTATTATTCCTACGATATTCTGGCATTCCTTTTTCTAGACAGGCTGCTCCTGTACAACCCTGACTTATCTATTCATTCATGTGGTTGGTTTTGGCATTTTTTAGGGAAGGCCATCAGGCTGGGACAGGATGAGGATGAAAGGATAGGAATAGGCTAGACTTTCCAAGAGTCTGTGTGTGGAGGTCACCTGCCAAGAGCTAAGGAGACCAATGCAGGGAAAGAGGCCATGGACTTGAAACCATTGAAATGGCTGAGACAGCCACCCTGTGATCTGACTTCATGCCCTATGACCCACGAGTATTCAGAAAGATCCCCAAACTCATGCTGTTTGTAGTGTAGTTGAGTTTCCTACAGGATCTGGCAGTGGGGCATGCCTGTCAGCTTAAGGTTGAACTAAGATGGCCCATAAAGGCTTAATTTATGAGACAGAGGAGATTAGGGAGAAATAAGGTCTGAGTTTACAAAAATTCTGAGGAGGATGGAAAAAGGACCATCTGTTCTCTTGTAGGGAGTGACTGCAGTTTTGGATTTGTTCATAAATGGTAGAGAAGTAGGAGACTAAACTGCCAAGATGTGTATGTTAATAGTAATGCCCTGAGGAGAGGCCAAGACAGGATGGTACATGCAAGAAATTGATTAGGAAGAACTTCTGTGGGAAGAAATGGGGAGGGAGCGAGGAGAGGCTGGGAGAATCATCAGACCCTGATGCAGGGTGAACCCCAAGTGCAGGAGAGAAGGGCGGATGTGTGGATGGGAGTGTCTTAGACCACAATGCAGTTCCTAGGAAGCTTTGGTGATGACACCAGGGAGCCCTCCAGCCAGTGTCACCTGCGGGTGGATTCCCATGTCTCCTAGAAATAAGCGTGCTTTGTAGTGTCTGCCTCAAAAAAGAAGCGATAAGAAAATGACAGTGCTTCTTGCTATCGTCACCAGATGGCATGAAAAACACCCATCTGACTGAGAATAGTGACTTGAGGACTATACAGCATGCATAAGCACAAACAGACACACCCCCTCATCTTTCTCATACCCTAACACCTTCTCTGTGGTTATATCAAACTGTGGTCCTAAGTTTGAGTAATTTTCTTGATGAAAATGTTTAATGAATGGTCCAGTATCAATCTTCTGCTTTTGGTAATGTACTATAGTTGAGTGAGATGTTATCATGGGGCGAAGCTAAATGAAGATACGCCTACTATTTTTGCAGTGTCTTGTTAGTCTATAATTACTTTGAAATTAAGAGTTAAAAAGTGTTTAATAAAGAATCCTAAACATGAATAAACCTACTGGTTTTAAGAATCCATGTGATAAAAAAGAAAGTCTGAATTATACAGGAGGGTCTTGAAATAATAGTGTTTGAAAGAAATGATGAAAAATGAATGTGATATAACAAGAGCAGCAGGCCTAGAGGAACATGCATTTTACCTTCAGAGACAAGACTGCACACCTAGCAAAAGAAGTAGCTTGACATACCATGGTTTTCACCTGCTTCAAGTGGGGTTGAAAACACTTTTCAGTGGATTAAAAATAAGGACTACTAATACCAAGTGCGGCAGGCCAGGAGTTCCTGAAATCTGGTCCTATTTGGAGCCAGAGAAGCTGCTGCTTTATGAAAAAAGGAAATTGAAAACAGCAACAAATGCAGATTTCTCTTTTAATCCAGACTTTGGAAGAAAGAAAATCAGGAGGACAATGAGCTGTCTACTTCTGGTGTCACAACGTTTGTCTTCAAACATCTTTTCTCCATTGTTTGTATTAGAAGCTACATCCTACCATATCCACTTTGACGAAGCCAACTTCACTTCTCTTACCCAGGCAAAGGCGTAAGTTTCTGCTTGCATATTAGGAATTTAAGATATTTAAGACTGTGGTAACATTTTTACTGGGTCAGTTTGTTTTATTTTAGTTACATTTTTAAAAGCATGTTACTCTTGAGACTTAATTTTTAATGTTTTGCTTTTGCCATCTTAGGCCTATTGTTGATATTGTAGAAGATCCCATGATGTGTACACCTACTAGACTATTGTTTCATGTGAATTAGCATTTCCCTGGTTACTAAAACCATTCTTTTCTTTTGTTTTCTAGCCATTTGTGTATCTTTTCTTACATCCTTTTTGTTGTGACACATACGTTGTAGCTTCTACCATTTTTCTGTTGGCTTCTCTGTCTTTTTCTAATGGCCAAGAACTTTTAAAAATATATTCTGGATAGTAATCTTTTAGTTGTTTTATATGATCCAAATATTCTGTTATGTAACATGGCTTCCCCCCCCCCACTCTGTGGTTTTAATCAAGATGATATTGCAAAGAGTTAAAAAATAATAAATTGATATCCAAAAGCAGATTTCTCTTGAAACTAGAGAAGTGTTAAGTTCAGGGCCTTCACTTGCATGGTTCTACAGTCCTGGGAGAGGTGCTAGCAGAGTCCTCACACAATCACATATTTTCATAAAATTTACCAAAGCTGTAGAAGTTAATGACAATCTGTTGAGACCACTACATCTTCTATTTTCATTCATGTTGGGGGATGCTGGAATTATCAGCAATTTACTAAGTGGACATTTTTATTTAGTGGGATATATTTACGTGATTTGAAGTCACTTTCACACACAGTGAAGTTATTGTTGGCTGTCAAGGTATGGGAGTTGCTTTTAGGAATATCTTTGTTGGCCAACTCACCGAGTATCATGACATGAAGATGGGGGCTAGAGGTCGTACTGTAATATTGTTATCCAGTCGCTCAGTCATGTCCAACTCTTTGCAACCCTGTGGGCTGCAGCATGCCAGGCTTCCCTGTCCTTTACCATCTCCCAGAGTTTGCTCAAACTCATGTCCATTGAGTTGGTGATGCCATCCAACCATCTCGTCCTGTCACCCCCTTCTCCTCCTACCTTCAGTCTTCCCCAGCATCAGAGTCCTTTCCAATGTTGTTATGTATGATCCAAATATTCTATTATGTAGCATGTTTCATGATGCTCTTCACATCAGGTGGCCACAGTATTGGAGCTTCAGCATCAGTCCTTCCAATGAATATTCAGGGTTGATTTCCTTTAGGATTGACTGGTATGATCTTCTTGCTGTCCAAGGGACTCTCAAGAGTCTTTTCCAGCACCAAAGTTTGAAGACATCAATTCTTTGGTGCGCAGCCTTTTTTATTGTCCAACTCTCACATCCATACATGACTGCTAGAAAAACCACAGCTTTGACTACACAGACTTTGTAGGCAAAGTAATGTCTCTGCTTTTCAATACTCTGTCTAGGTGTGTCATTGGTTTTCTGCCAAGGAGCAAGGATCTTTTAATTTCATGGTTACAATTACCATCCACAGTGATTTTGAAGCCCAATAAAATAGAGTCTGTCACTGTTTCCATTGTTTCCCCATCTATTTGCCATGAAGTTATGGGACTGGATATCATGATGTTAGTTTTTTGAATGCTGAGTTTTAAGCCAGCTTTTTTATTCTCCTCTTTTACCTTCATCAAGAGGCTCTTTAATTCCTCTTTGCTTTCTGCCAGAAGGGTGGTGTCATCTGCATATCTGAGGTTATTGATATTTCTCCCCACAATCTTGATTCCAGCTTGTGCTTCATCCAGCATTTTGCATGCTGCACTCTGCATATAAGTTAAATAAGCAGGGTGACAATACTGTCATACTGCTTTCCCAATTTTGAACCAGTTCATTATTCCATGTCCAGTTCTAACTGTTGCTTCTTGACCTGCATACGGGTTTCTCAGGAGGCAGGTAAGGTGGTCTGGTATTCCTATCTCCTTAAGAATTTTCCACAGTTTGTTGTGATCTACACTGTCAAAGGCTTTAGCATAGTCAATGAAGCAGAAATAGATGTTTCTCTGGAATTTTATAGCTTTTTCTATGATCCAACAGATGTTGGCAATTTGATCTCTGGTTCCTCTGCCTTTTCTAAATCCAGGTTTTGCATCTGGAAATTCTCAGTTCACATGCTGTTGAAGATTTTCCCAGTAATGGAAACATGTAAGAGAGGAGAAACAAGGTTTGAAGTTTACAGAGTTAGAAACTAGTCTGTGGGAAATCCTTCTGGTGATCAGATCTATAAATTATAAACAGAGGGTCAGATTCTCAGTCATGCCTGGAGGTTCTTATTTACCATAATAAACCACTACATCAGTATATAACATATCACTATAAGAACTGTAGTAACAATTGAATTGATGTGATCAAAAGAATTGATGACAAATTGCTTTATGACTATCTTTGACTTTTTCAAGTATTTAAGATTAGTTACTGCACAAAAAAATTTTAAATGCCTTGGCACTTTACTGCTCATGTATGAAAAAAAGTGAATAGAGTTTTTCCCAAACTTACCAAAAGTTCTAGTAATTTAAATGACATTATTAATATCAAGTCATGAAGCTTAAATAAATTTTTCTAAACTGTCAATAATAAAGAGCAATTTCAATCACCAGTGCTGAAGAAAGACTATCTTTTGCTCCCTCTACAGGAAGTGTCATTATGTTAGTTTCATATTCAAATGAAGAAGTACCCCAAAATATCAGGAAGTTTATTAAAGAGCTATATCCAGCAATGTTTAATGAAAATATGATTTTTCTTTGTATATTTTATGATGTCTTCAGTATTTTCATTTTTTCTTAAATTTGTGATTTTTGTGTTTTTTGAAATTTTAAGCATGTATGCACTTTTGTAACTAATTTTTATTTGTAAATTTTACTTTTTTGTTTTAAGGGGATACTCCCACCATATTATATGAACTTCAAGTGCCACACAACTTAGATCTGTCCTGGCAATATTTTTAAAAACTTGTGCTAACAATAAGAAGTTCCTTTTGCTTTCTTCCCTATCCTCAGAGTCATTATACTTTGCTTTTTTTCCAACTGTGATTCTGTTAGGAATTTTCATATTTCTAAATAATATACTTAGAGTACTTCTTCTTGCTTTATTCAATTTTATATATTTTCTTATGGTTTCTACCTTGACAAATAAAAATGTACTCCGCTTTAGGTTTACTATTTTTCTTTTACCTTATCAATGTACTTTATCACTATTTTTAGACAAATAGCCAGTATGTATGTCATAATTCCACAAATATATATTGCAGGGCCAAGACATGTACTGTAATTATAATTTCTTTACAGGACAGCTTTGTTTCTTGTTGAAATTCAAATTGCCTCTTCTCTGTATGATGTGTATTTTCTATTTTCCCCAAATGCTCTGTCTGATCATTTTTTTCCAATATCCTCTTTATCCTGGTGCCATTTTCCTTTAGCTTTCTCTGCTCTGGCCCAATCTCTCCCTTTCCCTCTGTCTCATTAATATTTTATGCTGTGTTTTCCCTGTCCTTTCATTCTGTAGCTCACCTTCACCAAATGTTAGAACTCTTGCATTAATTCTGTGTGTCTCTTAGCTTCTTTCTGATACTTTCTTTTTTTCTTTTTTCTTTACTCTCTAGGAAATTTCCTGGATCTTACCTTCAAAGCCTTTCATTGAATGTTTTACTGTGATGATCGTATTTTTAATTTCTTAGCCTGCTGTACCGTTATTGATCGGCACTTCCCTCTCCTTCTTGGATCTATTACCCTCCATCCCTCTCTAATTTTTCTCTCTGGTTTCAGAGTTCATCCTCTAGTACTTAAGAAGTGTGCTTTGCTTGTATGATAATGTATGCTAATAATAAAATAATGGTGTTATTTTATGCTTGCACAGATTTGCTACTTTTGCTGGGTATTTAACTGTAGCTTAAAACCATGTTCTCTCTGTGTTTTGGAAATGTTTCTCCATTTTCTTCTAGACTCAGGATACCAGAGAAGTTTGATGTTGTTCTGTTCTTTCTATAAACTTTGAGGATCTTTTTATACCTGGTGTTCTGAAATTTCATGATGGTTTGGAATTTCGTGAAGATGAGGCTATCTCAGCACTTCTTATGTTAGCTACTCAATGAATTCTTTCAGTCTCGATATACACTACATTTCTTGATCTCTCTCTCTTGGCATCCTGTTCTTGTATATCAAGTATAATATCTTCTAGTATCTCTTTGAGGATACAAAAAAAAGATTTAAAAATAATTTCTCTAGAATGTGATTTATCTTTTTTTTTTGACAGGTTGATTTTCCCTGTTGGCTTATTTTAATTTCTTTTATGTTGATGCATTTCCTGAAATGCCTGGCATTGTTTTATGGTTTACATCCAAGAGGAGCTCAAACAATGCTGACTGGAAGCTCTGGTAGCAGGGACCTGACTTGTCAGCGAGTGGGCTTCACTTTAGGACAATAAAGCAGAGCGGAGAATGGTCACTTGGGGACCCTAAGGTGTTGGTATGTGGCGCTTTTCTTGGGGTTCTCAGTCTCTCTGAAGAAACTGCTAATCTTTTACCTGCAGGTTGGATTGCAGGTTGTGCAAGGAGAAAGGGAAGAAGTGGGGGTCCACCCAACCACACTGCATGCATTCTTTGAACCAGTCTCCATGTTTTCAGAGTCACACCCCACCTTGCCCTCGGCCACACTAGCCCCTCTGAATTATAAACCTCCCCAGTTTGTTGAGGCGAGTTGGATCCCTTTTCTTCCCTGGTCTCCTATGGATCTTGGATCCTTTGCTTCTCTAAAATCAGTTATCCGTCCTCCATTTGCTGTGCATCTTCCCCAAGTGGATAGAAATCTTTCATCCATTGATCTCCTGTTCTAGTCTCTGTGTCCATGTGAGTTTGTGAGATTTGACTGTGCTCCTCACATATTTTACTGGAACATTGAGGAGGAGAGATTAAAAAAAGATTTTAAAAGATCAAAATGTTGCATCTTTAACTGAAAGGTTGCTGGTCTTCTAAATTTCTATGATGA